AAACTTAGCTACAGTGCTCCCTTGGTACCTGTGAGGAATTATTTCCTGTGGCTATTTTCCTGAGCCATCCACCATTCACACAAAGATGCTGTCCTAATTTCTTTTTTTGTTGTTGTCCTCCCGGGTCTTTATAAAACTGTTACTATTTTACTGTTTGATTTTAGGGAGAATTCAGAAGCCAAAAATCTGCTTTAAGCAGAAAAATCACAGAGATGATAAATGACCAATGAAGAGCTCAAAAGGCCAGGGACACTGGAGCAGTGCTATCTGGGCTTACATTTTGACACACTTGTGTTGTGACTTTGGTCAAGTTACTGGCAATGTTCTTGAACCTCAGTTTCATCTGTAAGATGGAGATAATAATTATAATTATTTTCCTAAAAGGTTGAGATGCTTTGAACATTGTCTTGAGCACTTAGTAACTTGTGGGGGGCTATTTCTCTGCTTTCCATGTCCATCTCCATCACGGAAAAGGAAACAGTCAGGTTCCTGAGTGGAGGAGCTGGGGATTAAGAAATTAAAGAAAGAGAGAGAGAGAGAGAGAGAGAGAGAGAGAGAGAGAGAGAGAGAGAGACCAAGAGGTAGAAATAGATTCATCAAGCTGGGAGCCAGGTGGGCGCCATTCTTCCTCTCTGATGGAGAGGCAGTGAGCCCCCAAGCAACGCAGCAGGTTTATTTTATAGGGTCAAAGGAGCTTATTTGCATTCTTAACTAGGCCTTAGCATTACTGGATTTGCATATCTAGACCCGCCTCTGCTGACACCTGGACAAAGGAAAGTCAGAAACTGAATAACAACCCCAGCCCTCTTGTGGGGTGTAACCAGGACACGACTCTGCCAGTGCCTCGGGCTCAGCTGACAATTTAAAGGCTGTCCATGTGCCTTCTCAGACGGCCCTCTACAGTAACTTTTTAGACTATTTAAGTTAATTTTTACAAAGCTAAGAACTGTCTACCATCTGGGAGAAACTGTTTTGACAGTGGACTTCCTGTTCTACTTCAACTGTGTCATGCTGGGTGAAGATCTGCGCTGGGCCTTTTTGCCCACGATAGGGTCTGTTCATGACACTGGGAATTTTACATTTCCCCTCTCTACACCTTAATAGGGGAGCTAAAAAGTCAGAATTTGATATTACTGAGAATCCCAAAACACTTCTCCCCAAATATTTCATCACACAGAGAGCAAAAGAAATAATATTGACTTCTATGTGCTAGTTCACACTCACTGTCTCATTTAAGGCTCATAACATTCTTGTAGATTAGGCATTTTAACCTCCATTTTACAGAAGAGGAAACTGAGGCTTAACAAGGTTGAAATAACCTGCCCCAAATTATAGAGCAGAACCAGAATTGCTCACTTCAAAGCCCCAATTCTTGCCAGTTTCTCTCTGACATTTCTCTCAAGGGTCAGACCTTCACCTATTTCTTGCAGGCTATTGGCTTCTATGCTATCTAAAACTATTTTCTTTTTGCATAATTGAGAATGCTCTTCTATCTTTTACTCAACTAAATTGAATTCTCTGTGCTAGAATGCTGCTCAGGACACTCATTGAGGGGCATAGTGTTGAGAAATGGGCAGTAGAGCTTAGAAACTAATGAAAAATAGATGCTTGAAGTTCCTGATTTTTCTTTTGTTTCTAAACTAAACCAATGTTTACAAAGAATGTGTCATTGAATGATGCAGAAACAATTATCCACCTTTCCTTTATTTTTAGATTCAAGTAAATATCCGATAATAGTACAGTTTGCAAAATACAGTATACTGAAGAAGCTCAAAAATAAGTCCATGAAACCCCCAGAGAATGGTTAAAAATGAGTAAATTGTGAAGATACAATTCATCACAGTAAAGAATCTCACGGCAAATTAATTCTGAGTTATGGCTTCAAACTCCTCCTTCAGCAGACTTATCCTTCATCTTCCCTTCAGTTCACTGAACCATTCATCCAGTCACCCAACACACAGTGACTAGAAACCCAGTTGTACTGCATGCTGTTGTAGGTGCTAGGATAAAATAGTGCTTAAAGTGTGTAAAGAAGGTTAAGGTCACAATAATCGAATAAACAAATGAATAAAATAAGCAAATTTAAGGTACTGATAGGTGCTGAGAATGAAATGTATATAAAGATACAGGGTTTATGGTTCAGAAGCTACTTGAGCTAACGTGGTGAAGGAAGCATTTGAGTTGAGACCTAAAAAGAGAAAGAGCCAAATATTCGCAAAACAGAAGAAATAACTCCTTTCTGTAAAGGTTTGAACAATTCAAACTTAGACTGTCTTAGTCCATTCAAGCTGCTGTAACAAAGTACCACAGACTGGGTGGCTTATGTATTATACAACAAACATTTATTTTTCATGGCTTTGAAGGTTGGAAACTGGATATCAGGGTGCCTGCAAGGTCAAGTTGTGGTGAGGGCTTCTTGCTTGTTGCCACTGCCTGCAACTTTTGCATCTCACAGGGTGGGGAGCAGGGAGCAGCAAGCTCTCTCATAGCTTTTATAAGGGCACTAATGCCAGGACCTTATCGGATCCTAGTCTCCTCCCAAAGACCCGCCTCATCATACCATCACATTAGGGGGTAAATTTCAACATATGAATTCTTGGGAGACACAAACATTCAATCCACAACAGGTACCAAGATCAGAGAGAGGGCAGTGCAGCTGGGTCAGGAGTGAATGAAGTCAGAAAGGTGGGTAGGGCCATGTTAGCTTAAGTCTTGTACTATTAAAAGGAGTCTGAATTATAATCCACATATAATGGAAATATATTGGCAAGTCCATTTTTATTTATTTTTTTTAAAGTATATTTTTTATTGACTTCAGTGAGGAAGGGAGAGATAGAAACATCAGTGGTGAGAGAGAATCATTGATTGGCTGCCCCCTGCAGGCCTTCTGCATGCCCCCTACTGGGGATCCAGCCAGAAACCTGATCGTGTGCCCAGATGGGGATTCAACCATGACCTCCTGGATCATAGGTCTAAGCTCAACCACTGAACCACACCAGGCTGGCAATATAGTGCCAAGTTTAAACACATTAATCCAAATGCTTGGCTGAGAATTACTTACAAAGGGGCAATAATGGAGGCAGGGTGAGCTTGAAGAGGTTAAGGCAAAAGAAGACTGAAGATTCTTAACAAATCTCCTTCATTTTAAGGGGACTTTACTGGGGAAAGGAAGCTGAACTTATTTTAATAATGTCTCCATTTACATGTAACATTATCTGCTATAAAATTGTTTTATTATTATTATTATTATTATTATTATTATTATGTGAGGGATGGAGATGAATGACGTGGGTGCAGATTAGCAATTATATATAATGCCACTCTGTATTAAAAAGGCATCTTACTGTTGTTTCAAGGAGCCACTATACGGGGCTTTTGGTCCTCCCTAAAGGAGAGCCACAATATTGAGGAAAATTAATTCTCCCCTCCAGTCTAAATGTAAAACTGCAGAAGCCATTTGCTGAAATATGGCCATCCGTTCTTCACAGGGCACCGAGTCCTTCTTCCGGCATTCCTCTTTAGAGGCCATTTATCAATTCCTAGCAATTATTATGGACAACTTACGGGAAACTTGCGACTGTGGCCATTTATTGGCATTTTTCTGGGGCTCAGCCACAAACTGCGTTGAAACTGGTACGGGTAGTGGCTCTGCTTCCCAACTTCTTTGCTCAGAGGAGACAGTGGGGCGCTGGGAGGTGGGGAGCCTCAGCCACCCAGTCTTTCAGCCCATAAATCAGCATCTGAAAGCACCCTGGAAGTGTCACGATGGCGCTGAATATACAAAAAGTGTTCGCGAGCCAAATCCGCTGTCTTGTTCCTGGGGGCAGAGGGGAGTGACAAGACGCTCTCGTGTCCCCGAGCAGTAACGCGGCACAGCAAAGCGTGGCTTACACACCATGTGTGTCACACATTTCTCAGGGTTTTTCGAAGGGTTTTTCTTTTCCAAGTTCCACCTTCCCTGCTGTACAGTTACCCTGGCCCCAGCTGTGCATCCGCTTTGACTCCATCTGTCCTTCCGCTGGGGACGAGTCTGTCTCCCTCGCCAAATGGAGAACACAAGTTTGGCTCCCCAAAGTGAGTGTAACCCCCGCCCTCTGCTCAGGCTGAGCCAAGCGTCTGGCCTGTGGAAGGGAAGGGACTGGCGGTCCAGGGGATGGAGAGGGAGGGCTGCGCCCCCCCCCCCCCCCGCCACGCCTCCGCCACCATCGGCTCTTTGACGCAAAGCCGGGGCAGATGCCCACCTGCGCCGCCCCCACCCGTCTGGCGCCCCAAATCTCAGGTCCTTTCTCCTTTGCTCCCTCCTCCTCCTCGGTCCCTGGCCCAACCGCTAAGGCGCCGGCTGCGGAGCGGGGACCCGCAGGTTGGAATCTGCCCTCGCGGGCGCTGCGTCACCCGCTGGGGAGGAGACCTGAGGGGAGGCGCCCGAGGCTGAATCGCAGAGGGCGCCCCCGAGACGCGGTGGGGAGCAGCCGCTCCCCTGCAGCCCATGGCGCCGCTGCCCGATGCGCCGCTCCCCCTTTATTTCCTCCCTTGCTTGCTCCGGCTCGGCGCCCCCACCCTCCGCCTCCCTGCCCTTACTCCACCCCCTTCTCCTGCCCGACCCCTCCTCTCTCTGTGTGTGCGCGCCTTAGATAATCGCATCCTTTTTGGCAAAAGAAACATGCACCTGACTTTACCAGGGGGAAACGATCGGCCCCAGCAGAAGGAACAGGAGAAGGGGGAGGGAAAAAGATGAGATTCCTTTAAGGAAATCCCGGGGCTGAAGAGGTGGCCGCAGCGCCAGTGGCATCCAGCGCCCCCTCTGCGGGAGCTGCGAGCGGAGGACCTGCTCACCAGTTGCAGATGCGATCCCGGGAACTCCTGGGTCTGTCGGTGTGTTGGACACACGAAGTCTTTTCCTCTTTTGGCTCAGACCCCGAAGAGGCGGCTGGATTTTGCTGTCATCCTACCGCGAGCTGGCTGTTCCTCCCCGGGAGCCTTCCCCGGGAGCTGGCGGAGCGATGAGCCGGTCTGCGCGGAGGATGGGCGCAGGGCGCCGGCGGGAGAGGAGAGGGTGGCCCGGCGGGCGGCCGGGAGGCGGCGGCGGCGGCGCCGGGGCGCAGCGCTTCCTGCTCGGGCTCCTCATGCACGCGTGGCTGTGGGCGGCCTCGGGCTCCTCCGCCCAGGTGTTCCACCTCAGCCTCTCCGTGGACGAGGGGCTTCCCCCGGACACCCTGGTCGGCGACATCCGCGCCGGGCTGCCGGCGGCGCAGCAACAGGAGGCGGGCGGCTTCTTTCTGTCCGAGGATTCCCACGACTCCCCGCTGCTGGACGCCTTCCACGTGCACCCGGACACGGGCATCATCCGCACGGCCCGGAGCCTGGACCGCGAGCGGCGGGACCGCTACAGCTTCGTGGCCGCCACCCTGCTGGGCGCCGTGGTGCAGGTGGAAATCCGCGTCAACGACGTCAACGACCACTCGCCCCGCTTTCCCCGGGACTCCCTGCGGCTGGACGTCTCTGAGCTCAGCCCTCCAGGCACGGCCTTCCGCCTGCCGGGTGCCCACGACCCGGACGCGGGGCTGTTCAGCATTCAGGGCTACACTCTCCTGCAACCGTCCGACCTCCCCGAGGAGGACCCCGCAGGACCCTTCTTCCGGTTGCGCTACGGGACCCCCGGGTCACCGCCACCGTCGCCCCTGGAGCCCCTGGACCTGGTGCTGCTGCGGCGCTTGGACCGAGAGGCGGCCGCGGCGCACGAGCTGCAGATCGAGGCGTGGGACGGGGGCCGCCCGCGGCGCACAGGCCGCCTGCGGGTGGAGCTGCGCGTGCTGGACGAGAACGACAACCCCCCGGTGTTTGAGCAGGACGAGTACCGCGCCGCCGTGCGCGAGGATGCTCGGCCGGGCGCCGAGGTCTGCCGCGTGCGCGCCACGGACCGGGACCTGGGGCGCAACGGCCACGTGCGCTACCGCCTCCGCTCCCGCCAGGCGCCCGGGCCGCCGGGGGACTCAGCCCACTTCTCCGTGGACCCGCTGAGCGGCGCGGTGCGAGTGCAGAGGCCGCTGGATCGCGAGGCCCAGGCCTGGCACCAGCTGGTTGTAGAGGCCCGCGATGGGGGTGTGGAGCCCGAGGTGGCCTCGGTGCGGGTGTCCATCGCTGTGCTGGACGTGAATGACAACCGCCCCACCATTCACCTGCTCTTCCTCACCGAGGGGGGCGCAGCGCGAGTCTCCGAAGGCGCCAGGCCTGGCGACTATGTGGCTCGAGTGTCGGTTTCCGATGCGGACAACGGTGACCCAGAGAAGGAGGAGGAGGCAGCTGGGGAGCTTGATCTGAGCCCTGGGGACAGGACCATCTCTCTGACCTTGGAAGGCACAGAGGGGGCCTTCGCGCTGAGGTCTGGCGGCTCCCCAGGGGTGTTTTTCCTTTGCGTCGAGGGCCCCCTGGACAGGGAAAGCCAAGACCTGTATGATTTGCGGCTGGTAGCCACCGATGCGGGGTCTCCGCCGCTGAGCACGGAGGAGACACTGCTGCTCCGGATCTCCGACCTCAACGATCAGCCGCCCCTCTTCAGCCAGGAGCAGTACCAGGCCTCAGTGTCCGAGGCTGCGGCCCCTGGCACCGCCGTCCTGTGGGTGAGCGCCTCCGACGCGGACGAGGCTGGCACCCGCCACGCCATGCTGCGCTATGAGCTGGTCCACCTCCCCGGGCGCTGCAGCCCAGAGGCTCAGCGGCCCACGGCGGCGGAGTGCGGACCATCCTTCACCATAGACCCAGACACCGGCCTGATCAGCACTATCCGGGGTCTGGACCGAGAAGTTCAGGAGGCTGTCGAGCTGCGAGTGGTGGCCCGAGACCTGGGAGAGCCTCCGCTGTCCGCCACCTGCCTGGTGAGCATCACCGTGAGTGATGTGAACGACAACGAGCCCATTTTCTGGAGGCAGGTGTATAACGCCAGCCTTCTGGAGCACACCCAGGTGGGACACTGCTTTCTGCAGGTGAGTGCCTCGGGCCTGTGGATCAGAGGAGAAGGAATGGAGTGGCTGTGTGTCTGTCCAGGGAAGGAGAATTGGGATGCGGTGGTCGTGGTCATATCCCAGCTTGATATCAGGGAACACGGGTTCTAGCTCCTCATCTACAGTGAGGTGCATGGGTGCCCTCTGGCTACCTAAACTTTCTGCCAGGGCTTGGGCTGAATGATCTCTAGGGCTCTTTCCATGTCACATGATAACTTGGATCTTGCTTTTGCTTGTGGATCCGACTTCCTGAATGCCAGATATGTTTACCCAAATTGGTAGGAACCACCCATTCTCAAACAGTAGGTGCGTGGCAATGTCTCATAATTTTAAGCATCATTATGTGGCATCCTAGGGAAGTAAAGTGGCCCTCACAAATTAGTTTTGTTTGTTGATCCTCACCCAAAGATCAATGCCAGCCAGGGCACAATTAGTTTTTCAAACAAATTCATGCCTTTAAACGCTGAAAGTGTTTTTGAATAACTCTTTCCAGAGACTTCCTACACGTTGTCCTGCCTTCTTTAGAAGCCTCCAAAGACAAGTTAAGGACATCAAGTGTCGGGGAGCACGGGACTTGGCTGGAGTATCTGTAAGGAGGATTCTCCAAAAGGTCCGGGCCTCTGAGAGACCTTGCCCAGGGCGGCTGCCCCTACCTTGACTTTTCCAAACAAGTCCGATCCCCTGGGGTGTTCTGCTAGAAGCTCCATGTTTAGTCTTTAAAGATTCGATCTTATAGAAGCATATACTTTCTCAAGGATACTTACCCTGCTAATTGTATCTAGAGCTTAATTTTAGTTCAATCTGATATGACAATAAAAGCCAAAGGAGGCAGGCGAACAGGGCTACTTGGTTTCGATAGCCAAGTAGTGCCTTGGCCCTCTCTTTCACAGAAACGTGTGTTAGAGCAATCTGTTCATCCGTCACTCAGGGTCTGCCCGTCAGTCCCGGCAATCAAGTCCTTTTTATCTCTCGTGGGCCAAGCTCCTCCAGTGATGCCTTCCAGGACCATGAAGAGTAGGGAGGCTCAAATCATCCTGAATAAAAAGGGAACTTGTCCTGGCCAGGGTTGCTCAGTGGTTAGAGTGTCATCCCAGGCCCCACAGGGTCCTGGGTTTGATTCCTGGTCAAGGACACTTATCTGGGTTGCAGGTTTGATCCCAGCCCTCTCATCGGAACAAGTGCAGGAGGCAACCAATTGATGTCTTTCTCACATCTCTCTCTCCTTTTCTTCCTTCCTCCTTCCCTCCCTTCTAGTCTCTCTAAAAAGTCAATAGGAAACATATTTTAGGGTGATGATTAATGACAAAAAGGTGAGGCTCTCTGACCTTCTTTTTGGGGGTGTTGTCTTTTTGAATTCTGATTCCTCCTTCACTCTTAGGATGTTGTGATATGTTCCTTTCTTATTGATTCCAATTTCCTACTTCTTGTCTGATGTGAAATAACAAGCCAGATTGCCAAGACTGGTTTATTTACTCCAAGAAAACTTGAGTAAATAAATAGAGCTGGAGAGGCTAACTAGTGAGCGAAGCTCTGAAGCTGTAGTTCACTCTTAGGCTGGGTTAAGACCTCAAAGGCGCATTTCCTGGTTGCGGGGTGAGGAGAGCCCTTTGGCTTTTATAAGTTACTAGAGGCCTGGTGCATGAAACTCATGCATGGGTGGAGGGGATTCCTCAGCCTGGCCTGCACTCTCTCACAATCCTGGACCTGTTGGGGGATGTCCAAGTTCTGGTTTAGGCCTCATCCCATAGACCTAACAATCTAGGACCGCTGGCTCCTAACTGCTCACCTGCCGGTCTGATTGCTCCTAACTGTTCTGCCTGCCTGCCTGCTCTGCCTGCCCCTAAGTGTTCTGCCTGCCTTCCTGATCACCCCTAACTGCTCGCCTGCCTGCCTGATTTTGCCCCTAAAACTCAAGCTTCTTCTTTTTTTATTTTTAATATTTATATTTCTTCTTTATTTTTTATTTTAAAATTCAAGCTTCTTGAGAACACGAGGTGTTTTACATTATTCATATTCCTTACGGAGAGCTAAGCATGGTAAACACAGCAAATACGTTATACTTATGGACTTCTATATAAACACTTTCCAACCAGGAATGTTTTAATAGGCAATCTCCAAACACTTGAACTGGAAAACCTATATGTACTGTGCTGAGATTTCAGGCATCAGGTGCTGTTAGCAAGATTTCTATCCCAATTAAACTCTAATTCTGAGCGCTCAACAGTTTGGACAAATTGCCCTTCACTATCCCATTTTCCTCCACTTCAAACCAACGTAATAAGCGGAACCTTTAATTCTGACCTTCCTCAGTGCAAGGGAACAGCAAGCCTCAATAGAAATAATTTTCCACCAGAAGTCCAAATATTGCCAGACTGAGGACTATAGGCTGGCTATGCACATGCACAATAAATAACAGGCTCATGGTCTATCGATATCAGTAGGCGCCCTGCATTCTCCACAATCCCACAATCCTCTGGTCGCACACTTCAGGTTTCTCTAGCTCCTCCTTAAGTGGTGTTCCCTTCAGTCCAGTTGCAACGCCCAGGGCCTCTAGTTGGAGAGGATTTTTCTGTTTTGTCGTTGATGGCTGTTTACTATTTGGAATCAGTGAAGTTTCCGGAGTACTGCCACTGCCCTGAACATGTGGGTCCCGAGCGCACTCATGAAACAACCACCCATTCAGTCCACTGATGGAGCCATCCTGGTTCGCAATGAGAAAGGTATTGTGCTGAGCCATTTTCCAATCAGGTCTTCCTCTTCCTTCTTCAGCTCACCCCAAACCTACTCTGGGCCAACCACTCCAACCTTGCACAGCCTTTAGACCTTCCCATTTCTTTGACTTTTCCCCATCAAACTCGCATCTTAGGGACCCTCCTAACCCGATCTCGGGGGGGCGGGGCCTGCCTGGGTAAGGGGCATGGTGTTCTTGTCTCTGGGCGTCCTGGTCCTTTCAGCATTCAGGTGGCTGGCTTTTTATACATATAGATGTCTCCAATCACTTTTAGGTAAGCGAGATGCTACTATATTGTAAATATAAGCTTCATGACCGCTTCTATTTTTTGTTTTGTTTTTAATCCTTTGGATGATAATAACCTCCATCATTTGCTCTGGCACAGTTGGCAACTCTGAAAAGCAGTGAATGCTTGCTGTTGCTGAAATGGACATATCCATAAATGTCAGTGAGTGACATAATGGGACATTACTCATCACTCAAGCAGGGTCTAATATGGTGCAGGTTGGCTGGTCCTCCTCCATCCAAGATAGTGCCAGGCCTGGGAGTGACTTAAATCAGGTTCACCAATGTCCCATTGCTCAGAGGTTTGCAACGTGGCCTCATATGTATTGCAAAGGGAACTGAGAAGTGGAGAGGAGCCCATGGATGCCAGGGTATGCTGATGGTTTCTGCCACAGATTTCTAAAACTAAAGTCATGATAGGTGAGAGGTTGGACTAGATTTCTTCCATCTGGAAGGCTTAAGGATCTTGATATAAAACAGTACGACTTGGCTCCATTTGGAGGAAAATAAGCAGGGTGGGCTAATTGTGATTCCTTTGACTAGAGCTTATCTTTAGAGCTGTTTCTAAAACTGTGAGGTGATTTTGCTATGAGATGTGAGTTTATCCCATTGTTACAACTCGGTTCGTGGCAGATCCATTATGGTGAGCTGAACTTGGCTCAAGTGTAGGACTGCATCTCTAACTGCAAAAAACCTTTTCAAATTGCCAGCTATTGCTGTAGATGCCATTACATTGTGCTGATTAGAATTTCTGGACACGCCAGTGATCCGGCCCCACCAGAATGCAGACACCCTCTTGCTTATGAGCCTCTCAGGTGGCCCCTCCACCGCAGCGATGTGAACTTTCTGTGTTCCATAAGCCCTCTCGCTGACTCTGAGCCCTAACTTCTGGGTAAGCCTAAAGGGAGTGTCTTCCACATCCTTTTTTTTTTCTGTAAAAAAAGTTTATATTAATTATATTAGTTTGAGGTATACAATATAGTGATTCAACATTTATATTTAGTAATCATCTGTACCATGCAAACTTCACTCAATATTATTGACTATACACTCCCTTTACCTTTTTCCTCACCATCCCCCGTTTCTCTAGCAACCCATCTCCTTCCCTCTGGCAACCATTCCTTTGGTGTCTGTTTCTATAAGTCTGTGTTTTGTTGTTGTTGTTGTTTTGTTGTTCTGTTTGTTCATTTATTTTGTTTATTTTGTTTAGGTTCCTCTTATATGTACGACTTAGCTCCATTTGAAGGAAAATAAGCAGGGTGGGCTAATTGTGATTCCTTTGACTAGAGCTTATCTTTAGAGCTGTTTATCTTTCTCTGTCTGACTTATTTCACTTATAATAACCTCCAGGTCTATCAATGTCTTCAAGAATGGCACTATTTCATTCCTTTTTATTGCTGCATGACACTCCTTTATTTACATATACCACATCTTCTTTATCCATTTATTTATCCAAGGACACTTATCTTGGCTATTGTAAATAAGGTTGCAATGAACATAGGCTTTATTTTTTTTACTCTCAAATTATTTCATATCACTTTGTAAAAATGAACTCTTTGGATCTCATAGCCTCACCTTTCTTCCAAGGCTTTGTGTTAATTACATTATATCAATTCTTTAACTGTACCTTCTTTCTGTTGCCCTCTGCCAGTTTTCTCCTATAGACCTTATACATATAAACTAGATTCTTCTTTGTCAGAATCAAAACAAAATGAGAGACAACAGGGAGAAAATTTTATTTTCTAGATTCCCTGTAAGTGAATACTATGTCTTCTAATAAAACACACTCTTGAGCCTTTTTGGTGTTTTTGGTAGTTTATCCACATCACTTACCTGCTCTCAGTGCTCCCCATCCTCCCGAACCCTGGGGCTGGCTGAACCTTTTTATATTGTCACACCCTGAGAGTAAACATGCACAGCCAAGTAATCTCTCCCACAGCCATGGTTTGGAATCTCAAACCAAAGC